GTGGTGAGGTCGAGGCCGCAGTTAGCCAGTTTTGCCAAGAGGCGATCATGGGATACCAGATCAAAGGCTTTTTTAAAGTCAAGATATACGACATCAATCTCTTCCCCCTTGTCCAGGTGATGGGTCACCCGGTCATAAAAGGAAACGAGACTGGTCAAGCAAGACCTACCCACAACAAACCCATGCTGGGTATCCCTCAGGATATTGCCGTCAGCTAGTCTGTTAAGGATGGCCTCTTTGATAATCTTTTCCAAGACCTTCCCCAGAATAGAGGTCAGGCTGATGGGCCTGTAGTTTGCCGGATCCACTTTCCTCCCTTTCTTGAAGATAGGCACCACATTGGCCTTCTTCCAATGTTCTTTGGGCACGTCACCCAAGCACCAGGAGTTCTCAAAGACCCATGCCAGGGGCTGAGCTATGATGCTAGCCAGCTCCCTGAGTACCCTTGGGTGTAAACCGTCAGGGCCGGCTGACCTTGAAGGTGTCCAGCCTGTCAAGGTGTTCCTTCACGAGGTCAGCTTCGATGGAGGGCAAGGAATCTCCCTCACCCAGGCCTCCCTAACCCACAGTGGGCAGGGGCATCCCATGGGACTGGTGAAAAACCGACGCAAAGTACTCATTTAGCAGGTTTGCTTTTTCATGGGCATCAGTTGTCAGTTGTCCCATCTGGTTTAGCAGGGGTCCAATGTTGCCCTTGCTTTTCCTCCGGCTCCCCACATATCTAAAAAAGGACTTTTTATTATCCTTGATATTTGTAGCTAGCTGGCGTTCCATCGCAGCCTTGGCTTTCCTGGTTTGCTCTCTGCAGGTCCAGACTAGAAGTCTCTGCAGGTCTGAACCTGCTAATATACTGAAAGATTTGTGTTCAAGCAATGAATCATTCTGATGAACAGTGATCATGATTACACCATGTTTAATTTAATAACTTAATAACTTAACAGAGAAAATATTCAATTTAAAAGACTGTATCAATCCTAGAAAATGCTGTAGTGGTAGCTGAGTTTACAAAACAGAATTTCTTTGGAATATTAAGAGCTCATGCTTTGGCTCTCAAAATATCACTAAAAATAAATGTGCCACATCTACATTTGGATAATAATCAGCAGCCTACATTTTCAACTCCCATCAAAGAAAAACTGACTTGAGAAACAAACACATATGATCATAATTTGCATTCACAAGTGAATGTTTAAGCTTGCTAGAGAGAATTAAAATAACTTCTCAAAATTTCTATAAATAGCAATTTAGGTAAATATGTCATGATTAGAAATATACATTAACCTGCTATTTGAAAAACAAATCAAGACAGTATGTGTGCTTTTCAGCAGAGATTAAGCAACATCACAATTCATGAAAAAAGTCTTTATTTGACTCAGGTCAGCTAGATGTTTCCAGAGATCATATCTCACTATTGAAGGGCAGAGACTCCACAACTAGAGTGGCTTTTTCCTCCTCAGGTCCAGGCTGAAGAAGCTGAACAAATGTAGAAAATTTACATAGCATAATCAAAAGTTGCAACCCCCACACACAACAGTGTTAATGTGAAAGGTAATGTTCTGCACAGAACAAAAAGGGAGTCAACCTCTGGAATTGTCTGTAATTCACAAGGAGTAAACAAAGTAGACCTTCCCCTCTCCCCTACTGATCAACAATGGATACTTGTAACAAAAACAACATCTGATAATTCAGTTACAAAGATTCAGTGGGAAACCCATGGCATATAAGAAAATCAACTTCTTTCTCATTATAAATTAAATGATATATGCATACAACTGTAATTCATTTTTTAATATACTTTGTATATAGCTGCATCTGTTCTTGGAACTTTGCAATGATCAACAACATGCTTATTCTCTAGTTGAGCAGTTCCCAATCTGTAGTGCAGGTACCACCAGTGGTACACAGACAATCTGTCAGTGGTACACATTAACAGATTTATTATAATTACTTTATAAGACAAAAATTTGCTGGTAGTACTTAAGGATGAACTGAAAAAATTGCTAATGGTACTTAAGGTTATATCATTTTATATTGGTGGTGTGCAAAGTCAGAGTTTGGGAAGCGCTGGTCTAGTTCACTGACAACATATTTTAGTAACATGAATTTTACCAAAACACTTATTTTTATATTTTCTCCTCAGTAAATATGCTCAAACAATTAAAAAGTAGCTGGCCTCAATATAAGCTTCTAAGCTTTATAGCTTAGAAATGTCATTGTAAAATTAAGAAAGGAACACAGATGAAATGTAGAGTCAACGCAGACAAGTGCAGGGTACTGCATCTAGGGAGAAGGAAGCAGCAACACACCTATAGGCTGGGGAACTCCCTTCTTATCAACACAGTGGCAGAAAGGGATCTTGGAGTCATTGCTGACTCCAGGATGAACACGAACTCCCAATGCGAGGAAGCAGTCAGTAAGACTAACCACACTTTGTCGTGCATATACAGATGCATCACAAGCAGGTCCAGGGAGGTGATCCTTCCCCTCTATGTGGTGTTGGTCAGGCTGCAGTTGGAGTACTGCGTCCAGTTCTGGGCACCGCACTTCGAGAGGGATGTGGCTAACCTTGAGAGGGTCCAGAGGAGGGCCACTCACATGGTCAAGGGACAGCAGGCCAGGCCCTATGAAGAGAGGCTATAGGCCTGAATCTATTCAGCCTCCACAAGAGAAGGCTGAGAGGGGACCTGAAGGCCATTTACAAACTCACCAGGGGGGACCAGCGGAAATCGGGGGAGGCTCTGTTTTCCCAGGCACCACTGGGGGTTACTAGGAATAACAGCCACAATTTGTTAGAAAGAAGGTTAAGGCTGGACATCAGGAGGCATTACTTTATGGTTAGGGCTGCCAGGCTCTGGAATGGGCTCCCAAAGGAGGTGGTACTCTCTCCTACCTTGGGGGTCTTGAAGAGGAGGCTGGATAGATATTTGGCTGGGGTGTCATGACCCCAGCACTCGTTCCTGCCTGAGACAGGAGTCGGCTCTGATGATCTGTTAGGTACCTTCCAACCCTAAGCACTATGAAACTATGAAATCAGTAAGGTGGCTCCCACCTAGTAGGTGGTCAGAAATAAAGCTTCAGTTACTTAAGCAGACAGACTACTTGTTCACACTGCATGGAAAAAAAGATTTTGATAATTCTGGACATAAGTTGGTTTCTTTGTTTAAACAGACAACCTGCTCAAAACAGGCCAACAGAGAGCCATGGAATGATGCTGCACTCTGAAACACTCACTCTTTTCTGAAATCCTTATGTTCCTGATGTGGAGAACTGGGAAATATTTGTGGGTTTTTTGATAAAATAAAATATGCCTATAGTGTATCTACATAATAGTATCCTGCCTGAATACACAGTGCCAGATCAAAAGGAGTTGTTAAAGAGACCAGAAAGAAGAGGTAAAGCACTGGCTTAGACAAGGAACATTCTCTAAAAAACAAAAGCCAGGTTTAAAGAAAGGAAGAGGGGCTCCTCATCTCCAACCCTTAGAAATGAGTTG